ACGATGAAAATCGGATGCAGTGTGAATCCAGCATAGGCTTGCGACGCGAACAAACCTATTTCGCGTGATATCGCGTATATGCTATGATTTCGCGGATGATAGATTTTCTAACCTAAATAGTCGTCAGTTTTATTAATGCTTAATATCTCATTTTGAGGGGCAGTGCGACGCTTTCTTTTCAACCAGATTCGTTCATTTCGTGACTAAACTGAACAATTACCAAATTGTCGAACGTTTCTTAAGTATCTCAATCACAAATTCATTCGTCCGATTTTCCTTTTAAATGCCACATGACAAGAAGATTATGCGGCGTAGCCGATCTCGCGATCGCGAGCGGGAACGCGATCGGGAGCGACGCGACCGTCGGCGCACTAGGAGTCGCTCCAAAGACCGCAAAAAGGATAGGAAACGGTCCAGATCGAGAGAACGATCACGGGAACGCGACAGATCGCGAGAAAGGGAACGTGAGCGCTCGAGGGAGCGTCGAGGAGACGTGAAGGACAGGTCCAAGGATGAGAAAAAGCGCAAAGGTAGTCCCACCTTCGCTGAAGATGACTCAAAGAAAGATCTGAAAGGCGATGCTAAGAAAGAGGAAGAAGAAACGGAGGAGAAGACCAAGTTGGCGCCAAAAAAGGAACCATTGAGTCTGGAGGAGCTCCTAGCCAAGAAGAAAGCAGAGGAGGAAGCTCGAGCTAAGCCAAAGTTTCTCTCCAAGGAGGAACGAGCGGCCCTGGCATTAGAAAAACGTCAGCAAGAGGTTGACGCTATAAGGAAGCAGCAGGAAGAAGAGCGCAAGTTGCTGTTACACAGTGATAATACTAGCAAGGAGAGGGAATGGGACGACAGAGACAGGTATTTATAAGATTCCACTTGGAAATTTATTATATTGCACTCAAAAATTAATTGTATGATCCTGTAATATTTTCATTACATTTGTCTTTATAAACTATAATTGATAATAGTATATCTTTTTAAAATCTGTAGTTGGTTGCTAATGGTAGTATATTTTGTGCCTTTACGTATAAGATTTGAAATCAGTTAGAGTTAGATTTTAAGTTTATTGTATCCAATTTCTAATTCTAGAAAGATGAAAAAATATTCATTAATATTTATTAAGATGAAAACATATTTATAAATTTATTTAAAATACATATTGGCTATTAGATTCTGCAATTAAAAATAGGGTGTGCCATTTAAAAAAATCGATATGACCTTAACTTGACCTTGGCGACGCCACCCAAAGTCAGACTGACCAGATCAATGAATAGATCATTTAAAATCCTACAACTTTTGCAGAAAACATTTCTTTCGGAAATGCTTAGTTTCCGAGATATTTCACCAGTCCGAGACTTTTTACTCACTCTATATACATATATGTATTAGTCTAACATCTAACTTCTATCTTAATAAGCTTCTCATATTTAGTTGATTTATTCATATAAACGATCCTGTTTTTAACCCTGTTTTACACGGAGAGAATTTTTTCTTAGAGTTTACCCTGAAAATATGATAGTCGTGGCACAACATTGTATTTTGAAGAATTTTAATGTAAATTCTCTCATTCATTGATAAAATTACAATAAAGTATAAAATAAGTTTGATTAATTTTACTGATGTGTAAAAATCTTTAAAATATTGTATTGTACCACAACTATCATATTTTCAGGGTAAATTAAAAAAAAAATTCCGTGTAATTATTGTTGAAACAATATATTTTTCATTAGTAGAAGGAGAGAAAGCCAACGCTCGCGCGATGAGGATATTAAAGACAAGGATAAAGAGAAGGAAGTGGAGGCTATCAAAGAACGGTATTTAGGTTTGGTGAAAAAGAAGCGGCGAGTTAGAAGACTGAACGATAGAAAATTTGTTTTTGACTGGGATACTTCAGAGGATACTTCTGTGGATTATAACAGTATTTACAAAGAGAGACATCAAGTGCAATTTTTCGGTAGAGGCAATCTTGCAGGCATCGATATTAAAGCACAGAAGCGGGATCAGAGCAAGTTTTACGGCGAATTATTAGAGAAGAGACGCACAGAGGCTGAGAAGGAACAAGAGAAGTGAGTATTGTTGCTGACTATATGACTAGTATTTCTTTTTAACTGTAGATTTCCAACATATAGAATTTCAGTATCTGAAATTCTATATGTTGGAAATCTACAGTTTTTCACAACAAATCTACAGGATTTCACAAGGTAGTAGTCTTCATAGTTACAAGTCAAGTAATTTAATATAATCTTTATTCATTCCCAACTTCTGTATGATAACTGGCTTCAAACCTCCTTTTTATATATCTTTAAATAAATATTGATAAGAAATTAGTTAGTCCCAATAAACATTCTTTATACTAAATAGATACCAATAGAATTTCTTGGTTAAATTAAAATAAAATTGTCTTTTATAATTAATTTTGTTATATTGTTACTGTTACTAGTTATGAGAATTATAAATTATGTATTTTTGCAATTTTAAGAATGAGATTGAAGAAAGTGAAACGAAAAGAGGAAAAGCAAAAATGGGATGATCGACACTGGTCCGAAAAAGCTTTGAACGAGATGACCGAACGTGACTGGCGTATCTTCAGAGAAGACTACAATATCACGATAAAGGGTGGTCGCATTCCTGATCCCATCCGCTCCTGGAAGGAATCTGGCTTCCCAAAGGAGATCCTGGACATAATTGATAAAGTTGGTTACAAGGACCTCACGCCCATTCAACGACAGGCTATTCCTATTGGTCTGCAGAATCGTGATATCATCGGCGTCGCTGAAACTGGTTCGGGAAAGACTCTAGCTTTTTTGATTCCTTTGCTACTATGGATTACTAGTTTGCCAAAAATTGAGAGACTCGAAGAAGCGGACCAAGGACCCTACAGCATTATTTTGGCACCTACCCGGTATCAATTATTTTTCTAATTACTTTGTTTTCATTATGTTTTCATTTGTTTAAAATTGCAAGTATTAATTAGTTAATATTGTTGTTCGATTAATCGCCTAAATTTTATGAAGAACATTTTGATTCGTATAAATAAATATTTGTATTGTATTGTATAATTTACATTACAGTGAGTTAGCACAACAAATAGAAGAAGAGACCAACAAATTCGGTCAGCCGTTAGGCATTCGAACCGTTGTGGTGGTGGGTGGTTTATCAAGGGAAGAGCAAGGTTTCAGATTGCGAATGGGTTGTGAGGTAATCTCTGCTATGTATCATTATTATCAACTTCAACTATTTCCATAAAAAAATGTGAAATTGATTAAAACTAAAAGTCTATAACTAAAATATCAATTAAAAATTTTTTTCTTTTAGATTGTTATTGCTACACCTGGCCGATTGATAGACGTTTTAGAAAATCGATATCTCGTGTTGAATCAGTGCACTTATATCGTATTGGACGAAGCCGATAGAATGATAGACATGGGTTTTGAGCCAGGTACTTTAAAGATTTATAACAAGCTCAGTTCATTTAAAATATAATTTTAAAAAAATATTGAAATTGCTTATTTGATCTATTAACATTCTTACTTCTTTCAAAAGATGTGGTTTTTCATCATTTTTATAATTAATAAAATTATATACTTTACAAATATTATGTTAATTGGACATATTTTACGTTATTTTTTACTATTATTTTTTTTATAGAAGAGTCTTGTTATATAATATATTATATACGCACGCATGCATCAAATATAAAATATTTTAAAAAATAATGAATTTTTTTAGATGTTCAAAAAATTCTGGAGTATATGCCTGTGACAAATTTGAAACCAGATAATGAGGACGCAGAAAATGAGGAAAAGCTTTTGGCCAACTACAATACAAAGAAGAAATACAGACAAGTATGAGAAGTATTTTTAAATTTGTTATATGGTATTTGTTTAGCAGTTTTGATTCATTAGATCAGGACCTCCCAAACTTGTGAGAATTTTTTATGACAAATATCCGTGACTTATCTAGCTCCAATAAATATGAAAAAAGAGAGAGAAGAATAAATTATTTTTTATTTTCCCCTCTTTACTAGAGGGGATCATTTCATATATAGGAATGTTCGAATGTTTCGGCGCCTTATCATATTTATATTATGAACATCTCAGATCGATTGTGGTTAATGTCCGAACGTTTCGGCGCACAGTCACTGAGATAATTAAATTAAAAAAAAATTCAAAAATTTGTATTATATTCACAACATTTAACTTTGACCGATCATTGGCGTTCTTTTTATGAATAAATTATTTATTACTCTTTTTATTTAGTAATCTCTCTCTCTCTCTCTCTCTCTCTCTCTCTCTCTCTCTTTATTGAATATAATTTTATAAATTTATTTCTCAGATACATAATGAAATATGTATTTGAAATGAAAGCGATTCGCGATCAAGTAAATTCAATATTTTGTATCTGGTATTTCTAAGATGATCGTCTTTCTTTTAAGAAAATCTTATCATCTCGTCATTTGTATTTTACTAGGAATCAAAGGGCGATTGAGATTTATATGATTAATTTGTTATCGATAATTAATGATTACTTATTGCTTCTAGACGGTGATGTTCACCGCCACAATGCCACCGGCTGTGGAACGACTTGCTAGGACTTACCTGAGGAGGCCGGCTGTAGTGTATATTGGCAGCGTCGGTAAACCGACAGAACGCACTGAACAGATAGTTCATATAATGGGTGAAGCTGACAAGCGAAAGAAACTTATGGAGATACTCAGCAGAGGTGTCGAGCCGCCTGTCATCATATTTGTCAATCAAAAGAAGGGTGCGGACGTTTTAGCGAGAGGCTTGGAAAAATTAGGAGTACGTAACTTAAATTTGAAAGTGATAAATATAATTATTTGTGAATTCACACTGAATAGTGTAGCTCAAACAATTCAGTGATTCTTTAATATGATTTCTCCTTACCTTTAGTTCTTAACTAAGGATTTAAATGTAAAAATCCATACAAAGTATCACTGAGCGCTCACTGAGTTGTTTTGTCTGTTGAACCCTGTCATTGTAACGAATCTTATTCCAATTTTGTAGCATTCAATTTGTCGAACTTGAAATTTTTTCATGACGAGATTATTCGGGAGTGCATAAGTGTAGAAACTGCAAAATAAGATCTGCTAAAGATCTAATAGGTCTTTTGCTTTGTTCTGTTCTAGTATAACGCTTGTACTCTACATGGTGGTAAAGGCCAGGAACAGCGAGAGTATGCTCTGGCATCTCTGAAAAGCGGAAGCAAGGATATCCTGGTAGCCACTGACGTTGCAGGACGAGGTATTGACATTAAGGATGTGTCGATGGTCATTAATTATGATATGGCTAAAACCATTGAGGGTAAGTTATATGATTCATCTTTATCATTCCTTCGTATAATTATTAGGGCCTGAACGCTCTAATAACTACGTCAAATTTTTATTCTCAATCGCCTGTCATTTTTTATATTTATTTGTTATCTCGAGAGCTCAATTTTATCTTATTTTACTTATTTGATATTAAATTAATCTGGACTCAACTGATTATCTTCGCTCCACGAAGCCAGAGACTCCAAAGACCGAAATGTTGCTATCACTTTAGCAAACATCCGATCTACTTACGCGCGTAGCGATTTTCTGCGTTCACTTTGATCGTACACAAACGTTCATACCTTAATAATTATTAATGTTGGGATCGCTGAAGCATTTAGTTTTCTCAGCAAGAATTAAAAATTAAAATTATAATTTATTTTTAAAAACAGTTTGCCAAAACATAATTTCTCAATAAAGATGAAAGTTTTTTTTAATGAACAGTTAGCTATGATTTATTTATTTGTATTCTTTATTTATTATTTTTTACAGATTACACGCATAGAATTGGTCGAACTGGCCGCGCAGGCAAAGCTGGCCTTGCTATTTCCTTCTGCACAAAGGATGATAGCCATTTGTTTTATGATCTTAAACAAACGATACTTGCTAGCCCAATATCTACCTGTCCGCCGGAGTTGCTTAATCATCCAGATGCCCAACATAAACCGGGGACGGTAGTCACGAAGAAGCGACGGGAAGAGAAGATCTTTGCTTAATTCTTCTTCGTAGCAGGCACTTTGTGGTTCATAAGTTCAACATCTTTAATAGAGAAAGAGACGGGGGAGGGAGAGAGATAAAAATCATTGGTGAAGAGACGAGAATTTAAGGATTTGCTTCAAGGACTATGCTTCATAAATTAGCAATGAATTGGATTCCCAAAAACAAAACAACAAAAGTTGTTTCTATATCAGTAATGTATATATATATTATATATATATATAGTATAGCTATTTACAGTGTGCATACAATAAAGTTATTTGAATTATAACATAACTAGTATGTAACAGTTTCTATAATTATGGAGGTGGCGGTGATGGAGTTGTATAGTTACTATCAACTTTGCACTCTTCCTCCCAATCATCTGGTATTATTGGCTTCATGATCTCCATGAACTTGTCAAGAGGACATACAGTGTTGCATCCAGGTATTGTCATTGGATACGGATCATGAGCTGTCGTATTTCTTAGAAATATCTGTAGCAGGGATATTTTCATTATTCAAGAATGCTAAGAATTATTTATTAACATGGAATTAATGAAATTAGAGATACTATCAGAAAAAAGTCACAAATATCACTAAAATTTTCAGAGAATTCACACATTTTCTGTTACTATTGTATGAATCTGTTTAAAAAAAACTATCAATGTCTGGAAAATAACCAAGACTTAATATTTTCAAATCTTATTTTGAATAATTCTGAAGTATTTAGAAATTCTGAATTGCTTTGGAAAATACTTACCTGAACGTTCCATTCACCTTCGTCCTCATGCAGTTCTATCATCGTCATGATGTTATAGTAGGGCAATTGATTATACCAAATGTGTAAGGTGTCTAGCAGGGTAACGATAGTGCTATCATGACCTATATACATAAACATTTTTCTTTCTTCGGGCTGTAGAATACCTCTCCTTTTCGCTAACATATCATCGGTGAATTTCTTTAGCATGGGGCCACCCTTCAGTCTGCGGAACTCATCGCGATATGTGTTAAGTTGTAGCTCAAATAAGGTCAAAGGTATTAATTTATCAGGATAGTAATCCTTTGTCCATTCTGGTAAAGCCAAATTCATGTATTCCTGTAACATTTTTGGATAATTAAAATTGATTTTTTTTTATGACAAGCTAAGTACACATGTGCAACTTTAGTCATTTCACAGACTAGTCCTGGCATATCAGTTATTTAAAAAAAGATTAGATAGGCTACCTCAGCTGATAACGTAGCATAAAGTGAACTAACATCGTCAACAGTCATAATTGGCATGCCTGTGAAATTCGAGAGCTCTGCAAACAATTGCTTACTATCCTCGTGCAACTTTCGGACTTCCGGTAAGTCGTTTGTTGAAGAACGCAGTTGTGTATATCTTGGACACATGTTCCATATTAACATAAGCTGAAAGATTTATAGATCATTTACAGCAAAAGTAAATGAACTCTGATGTGGTTCATTGTTTCAACTATATTGAATTATGTGTGACACACAATCGGTTTGTCTGAGCAAATATTTACAGAAGTGGTTTACCGTGTCGTCTTGACGTTTCTGATAAAACAGTGTGACTGGCTGCCAAGGTAGATCAGATTTGAACGTCTGCTTCTTGCTAGGTTTCCACAAAGCAGCAGATTCCAACTCGCCCGACATTTTCGTACGATCCACATCGGTAGTCTGCAGATGAAATATATCGGGATGATACGTCAAGCCTAGAAAACAATTATAACGCTTTCGCAGAAACAATCCTTGATTGTACTGGTTCCTTCTTCCTTCCTAGTTTAATTAATTACAGTTAAGTTTGATTCGTAAAACAAATTTGTTTAAAAAGCAAGAGGCATAATATTTACATATGTTAGCTGACCCCAACCATAGGGCTCCATACTGTCATTGATATGAGGATCATTTGGATAGGTATCCACAGGTGCCCTGTCTCCATGTCTTATTACCTAAAAACAGGAAGACATATCGTGCAACATTAATTTTATTCTTGAAAGCAAATCGATAGTAATGATTGATTTAGTCATTTTCACAAAGGATACTCAATAACTTTTGACTTTGAAAAATCTCTAGCTGTTTGATTATTAGATATGTACGTCATACGCGATGAACGGACAAAGATTACATAATGAAATTCAATAAAAAAAGAAAGTAATTTTAGCACCCCACAGCTCAAAAATCAATAAAATTGAACTACGAATTGATCTGTGTCTATAACGAATAATAATTCAAATTAATACTAACGGGCTGTTAGGCTTCGCTAGATATTCTATGTTAATTAATATTTTCTTTATTTTAATATTTTATAAATCATAAATTAATATTCGATGCGTTTTTGCATGAAACAAAAGATAATCTGGGGGTGCGTTATCCGAGTTGCGCATAATATATGAAACGCATTATGATGGTGGATTATTATATTATTATACAATAATATACAGAATGTCTCAATAACTATTACCACCTGAAATATCTTCTAATCTATAAGGTGTAGAGAAAAATTTATATAACTAAAATTACACGGTGTAAAGGGGGCTATCATATGGTGAAAATAATTTTTGTCCAGGTGGAGGCGCTTCGGAGATTTCAAGGTCAACTTCGTTTTTTTTTAAATGGAATTATATGAATTTTTTTACATAATATGATTCCTCTAATTATTCTGTATAGAAAAGTATTAAGATAGTGGTATCAAAAAATAGTTTATCAGATATTTTACACTTTACTCTGGCACATATTGACATAAAATGTTAAATAACTCGTAAACTATTAATTTTTTGATAATCGTACCTTAATATTTTTATGAACAGAATAATGAGATGAATGAGTGTGTAAAGAAAACACATACATATAACATTTTGTGTCAATATGTGCCAGACAATATTATATGCCTTTACACCGTTTTGGTTGTATAAATTTTTCTCTATACCTTATAGATTAGAAAATATTTTAGATGGTGAAATTGTTATTGAGACACCCTGTATATAACATAATATATATATTGTATATAGTACTATACTATTGTATTATATTGCTATATTGTTATTATATATATTATATTATTTTTGTTAGTTAAAAGTATTAACAATAATATCAAACTTTGAAGATTGACTTCCAAATTTAAAAATTCGTAATTAATTAAGATGAAATAAACTAATTAGCCTATCTTAAAATTGCTGTGTTATCTGAAGCCTTTTTTCGTTGAAGCTGTTAGAGTATTTCGGTTTTGGCGAAATGTAGTATTGAAGGGTTTTTGGGGTCACTGATTTCGAATCCGAGTTCAAAATTTGAAAATTTAAAATGACTGAATCAATAAGGCGGACGGAAATGTTAAAAATCTTCCAATTTCAGCGAAATGTAACGTTAAGGAATTTTTGGGATTACGAATTCCAAATCTGGCTGACTGATTTCGAATTCAACATTTAAAAAGTCAGTATGGCGGATTTCAAAATTTGAAACCCTAAAGGGTTTTTTCATTAATATTTTTTTTTCATTAATGTTTCCGAAACGCTCCACAACACTCCGCAAAGAGTATACGGAGCATTCAAATACGCTTTGTATACACTTCCAGGATATAGAAATAAAAAAATTTATTTTAAAACGGAGCGTCATTGAACTATACAGCGAACGTAAACGAAGCGTCGTTGAGTAGTACGCGGGATCGCCACTAGAGGGACTTAGCGAAAACTAACTTCTCGAATTTAAAAAACCACACAGACTGGAATAAAAGACGTAGCATTGAAAAATTTTTCAGTTGCGTTCTAATGAAATAACTTTTTTGAAGTGAGCCGCTATAAGGGCTACAAGATAAAAGCATAATAATTTTTTTTTAGATGTTTACCGAACAAATGAAATATATTTTAAAATATTATCATTTGCTTAGCAAAGACCTCGATCAAATTTTATTCATCGTCCTCCAAGAACTGGACGATGCTTTGTTTACGTTCTCTAGACTGTCTAATCACGCTCCGTTTACATTCAATGAATATTCTGCTCATGCTTGCCGAAAAACTTATCTACGCTTTATTTATGTTTCTTTAACGTATAGTTGACACTTTCTTTACGTTTCATGTTCCAATTTACGCTTTTTACGGGTTTCGTTTACGTTTCCGTTACTTTCCTCTTACACTACCTTTACACTCCAATATAACGTTTTATTGACACTCGCTTTACGTTTTATTTTCATCAGTCACAGTCAACGTTAAGTTACTCACTGTTCCGACCCTTATGTTTGTACCTAAAAAATGTCCTCAAATAACAATTTTTGACCTCCCTTCCAGACTGCTTTTCTATTGTAACGTACATCCTCACACAAAAAAAATTCGAAATCCTGTCCGACCCTGTTCCTTAACAAAGGCAGTGAGCGATCACTTCAACGTGAGCTAGTGACGGCATTAGTCGATAGATAACATTTATAATGTGTAAATGTGCATGGTGTAAAGTAAGCCTATGTTTCACTTGTTTTTATGATAAATATCACCCAAAAAGTTGTAATCAAATTGCAGATGTTAATAATAGTGATGAATAAAAGTTTTGGTTAGCTCATGTATGTGTCCTCATTTTTATAAATGAATACGTGTCATAAATACACGCATCTGATTAATGTAAGATTAATGTAAAATTTTTTGCTCACAACAGAGGAAATGCTAAGAGGAATTCCCCGCTTATCGGCAGAATATTTTTTTTGGGTGTATAATACATATTTAACATAATAATATAATAAATAAATATTATCTAGAAAAAAAGTAATAGGCAGGAAAATCGAATCCGGATCGATAGATTGGCGCCTATATAGCGCCTGAGCTACGAAATCTTGTCGATAATCGATTTAACGCGGCCGATATATATATAAAGGCCATCACACGTACAAAAATTTTAGTCGTAATCGTAAGATTGCAAGCAAATCGACCAATCACAATCAAAATTACGATCTCGCGTTTTAAAACGCTCGATTGTGATTAACCGATTTACTTACGGACTTACGATTACGACTAAAATTTTTGTACGTGTGATGGCCTTAAGACTGGAATAATGTTCAGATCATGGATTCTGAACCATCTTTTTACAAAAGATCGGTTTCAGAAATGTTTTTTGTTAAGAAACAAAAAGAAGGCATTAATAATCAGAGCGATACTGATAAATTGCCGAATGTATATTTTCCAATTATGAATATTACCATCCCCACTTAGTTTCCTTTCTTCCCTCTCCTGGATTCTCTTTGTCTGTATATATATATATATGTGTGATAACTCGGGAAAAATATCAGAAGCCTTTAGTCGAATTAAGTTTGGCGAATCCGCAGTCTGTCTTTGAACAAATAAAAATTTTTGGACATCTCTTTGAAAGGGATCTTGAACACAGGTATGAACTAACTCTTTCTACATAGAATTAATGATAGACAATAAATAGATTTTTTATTGAAATAGAACTTGGGAATTTTGTGTCATAAGGATCAAGCAAGATCAATAAAATTAACAAGTAGAAGATCAATACATTGTACAAGGATTAAAGATAATTATCTTGCGAGAAAAAAGATCATAGTGCCAGTTGAGCGGTTTGCTTCCATTATTTTATGTAATTTTAATTTGACGGCGTTTTAATCGACATCTATAAGACTAAGCGATTTTAATTTTTGTAAACAATTATCCAGTTTTTTATGTTATTTGTATATATTGAAGAAGGCCTGATCGAGAACGAAACGTTGATATTTTATTCTCATAGATTGTCAAAATATAATTATAATCTCCCTACTAAGAACCTGCGTTGTGGTGTATGCCCTTTATTTCATATTATTTTATTAGTAACCACTTGATTATATTTATTATTAATATATAAGCCCTTTCAAAATTAGTGTTCCAAGGTCCGCGACCTCTCCTTGTTAGTTGACCATGCACACGTAAACGTTTTTCCAGACGAACAAATGCCATGTGCAATTTTTCGATACCATAACGTTCTTAAAAAACGTATTTAAAAAAATAATTGTGCTACACGTCGAGAATTTTTCTCACATTCTCCCAAAATCAGCATCATATCGTCAAATCGACTTCCACGTCAAATCAAGCTATTTTCGAGGTTTTCGAAATTAATAGCACGTTAGTCAGCTTAGAACTGATTACAAAACTTTTATTTACATTTTCCGATGAATGCGTGTTTGTTTTTTTTAGTTAATATGAAGATCTTTTTTTTTTTATAAGAAGACATAGAGTCCTTCATATTAACCGGAAAAGTACACATAATAAATACACATACACATCATGATCTACTGAGCAATCATCTTCCTCTACTTTTAGAAGAATTACTTACTACTTAATATGAGAAGATTTAAAACGAAGAATACGTGAAGCTTGCGCATACAACATAATTATACATATTTATGCATGATTAATTTTTTACCGGGATATAATGCATATTATGTAAAAAAATTAATATAGTTCCCCCCCATTTAAAAAAAACGAAGTTGACCTTGAAATGTTGACTTTGAAATCTTTGGAACACCTCCTCATAGACAAAAATGATATCACTATACGATAGTCGTTTTATTAATACCATGCAATTTGATTCACTTTTCTCGGAATCTTATAGATTCGAAGATATTTAAGGTGGTAATAGTTATTGAGACACCTTGTATAATTAATAACGTCGTAGTATTCTCATGATTATTAATATGAAATTGAACCCTTTTAACATTAATTTTTGAAAATGTAAAATTTTAAAAGTTAAAGGAGTATAAAAATTATTATACTATTGACAAAAATTTTGTGTATCTAATATATACATATACACATCATATATACCACTGTAACTAGTCGCAAAGTGCTCTTCTTAGTTTCGTGATGCTGCATGCATTGTGTGTCCGTTTCCGTATTCGTAATCTTGGAGAACAAAGGTATTGCTAAAATATACAAAATAACATTTCCATTATATGTCTAGGGTGTTTCTAAATTGCCGTGTTTCTAAATAAGGAGTATAAAACATGATACATTATGCTAAAATAAACAATTTTTTCCTTTAACAAAATTGCATCTGACAAGTAGTTTTTGTAGAAGGGTAGGTTAAAGTCAGGCAAATATAATACAAAGTTTCATGTAACATATCTGTTAGATGTAATTTGCTACTTAATATAACTATAATAATGTAACACACGTGTTATAATTATAATTATATTGCTGTGAAGGAAATTACAACAGGCACGTCACATGCAACTTTATGTTTGTGGGGTAGTAACTAGTTAATAAGTTAAAAGTTAAATAAAAAGTTAAAAAGTGAATAATTTTTAACTTATCCACACAACACGAGTGTTTATCAACTCACAGTCGGAGGAGATTTCATTTTCGCTTTCCGAGTTTTCGTATCGTGTTATAATTGGAGTAATAATGTAAGGATTAAGTATTATTAGTGCCGAAACTATCTATTATCGAATCTAATATTTGTATATAAATACATTTTTGCACGTGTATTTGTATCTGTATTTAGATACATTTTAAGAGTATTTTACCCCTCATTGGACTGAGGCAATGTTGCTACTCTTAAACAGAAACTCACTAGCATTTGTAATTTGTAATTTTACAGATGGAGTTATGTTCTCCATATTTTTGTTAACGCAGGAAAAATCTTGCGTAAATGTGTGAGGTACGGATGAGATCGAATCCGGATACACGGATTGCTAGTCCGCGGACCGAGCCACCCGACGCCTCATATGAGTGTTCATACACTTATTTTAGCAATAAAACTAGATTAATTAATTTTATTTTTCTGAAATATATTTCAGCAAAATTTTTTCACTAGGATTGATTGTGAGTTATAATATGCCAGAATAAAGAAAAAATACAAAAATACACATATAGTTTTTTTTTTAATATTTAACAGCAAATTTCTTGAAACGTAAATTAGAGTAATTTGAACGAAATCGAATTTAATGTCCAAAACTATTAAAAATAATTATCCTTGTTCTCCTGTTCGAAATTATATAGAAACCTTGAAAAATTCTGAAAATTATATAGAAATTTAGAAAATTATATGAAGGATTCTAAAAAAGTTTAGTCAGAGCAGGGAAGTATTTTATAAATTTGGAAGTATTAAAATATTCTAGTTTAAATGCGTTAAATAAATGTGTTAAGAAAATGCGAAAAAGTTTTCATATTTCCTCAAAAATAAGATAGCCGGACCTTGTATGTCCTTAGTATTCAATATGATCTATTCGTGTTTGTAAGTAAGTAATGAATTTAACAAACACAGCACTAATCGTCGTGCAGGTTGTCTGATTCAATACATCAGTTTATTACTCAGTTTGTTGATTCTGTTATTATCAGTAAAGTAAAATACAGAACGTCATGGTCGCAATGTAATATTTCGTAGGTAAGTAATTGCTTTCTACAATTACAAAGAGAAATGATTACTTATTAATTTCCATAGTTTATATTATTAGCTTTGTATTTATACTTCATAATTTAACATTTTGTTTTGTTATTTCATAATTTACCATGTATTTAATTTGTTTTTGTCAACGTTTTTTTTACAACTAAAGAGAAACTGTCTAAAATAAAACTAATATGACATATTATACATATTAAACGTATACATATCGATTATAACGTTTTTTTACTATATTTATTATTCGAGGTCATGAATTTTTAATTCACCTGATAACGCGGTCGTAGAAGTAAGTAGATAAGTATAAATATAAGTCAACGGTTTGGAAAATATATAATTCTATATGTAGTATCAAGAAACATATCAATCTATCGATAAACTTATTGATTTTATAAAAGTAACATTATATACAGATCATTTTATTTTTTATTTCGCCAACATTTTTTTATGAAAAAGAGGAAAACGTAGATTTGAGCCACATTGAGTACATATATAGGTACCCAATATGGCCCAGCTCTACATTTTTTTCTTTTTAAATCCTACCTTTTCTTAAAACTTTCACTGCATCTATGTAAATATATTTGAAAATGTCTCATATTTTTTGTTCAGAAATGTTTCCTCTTTTAAATCTCACCATTAATTTTTAATTTTGGATTCAGTAAAAAATTAGGAAAAAATCGCAGAGCTTAAGTAGGTCATATATCTATAGTTTAATTATCTTATATGCATTTGATATCTTTATAACAGAGATTACATCAACCCTTACAGAAATCCAATTTAATAGTGATCAGTTTAATAGCGGAAATTATTTATTTTAATATTATTAGCACAGTTGTTAAATATTAAAAGCACAGTTGTTCAATGTTTTTAATATTCAAAATAACTAATCTACTATCTTCTAATATAAAATTTCTAAATTCTTTAGGAAAGCAGATGATTCACAAATAAATCTGCAATTTGATAAAAAAAACATAGAAATTCAATTCCTACATCATAGAAACATATCTGAAAGATCGCAAATAACACTAAAAGGACCATTATGCAACTTATTTTATGAATATTAAATTACATTTAAATCTTTTTATGTACTTTGTAATATATGTCATTGCCAAAGTTTCACAGTATTTTAGTTTTAAAAAAGTTCTGCATAACATATGATAAAAGAGTGGAGAGAAACAGGAAGAGAGATACAGCAAAAAAGAATTGATTTACCTAATGTCAGCGTAAATAGCGCGAAAGAAGAAAGAGCTGTCACTGAGGAGATCATGTTGAATTAATTATAAAAGAGCTAAATAGTCCACAACTAAACCTGCAAAAGAGCACATGCAGACGTGTGCAATCGTACTGAAAGATTCGTGACACGTGTGCGTAGATAAAGTCAGGCATCCCCTCTTTTGTAAAACGACTTTAGAGCTCATAATTCGTTAACAATTATTATCATATGTTGTATTGTTAAACCATTTGCTGAATCAACGAATCGCGTATTTAATAAAACTGTACAATTATGTAAGCTATCGACTTGCGATTAAATATTATATTGTTGTAAACACTGCGCACTTTTTACCGCACCGATTCCCATAGCCGGCCTCTTTTACTTTTTTCAATTGTAGCGGAGTCTTTTTTATTATTGCATTATAATTGAAACTGCATTTACCTTCTTTTTCTTCTATACATTCTTCGATTGCTTTAGATCGTTGTTATACATTGCGTAAGAAGAGTTATGTAATAATATACACACGCAAATATTGTATGCGAGTATCACGTCAGAGCATTTAATGAAAGTAAGAATTATCCAGAGTTGCAAAGAGATAATGATATTCTTGAAAAAATCCTTGATTCATTAGATTCTTAGATCAGAATAGATATTTAACAAGTTGTAGTTCTACGTTTTTTGAAAATATTATAATCTACGTATGTTAAAGCTTCTCTAAGGTTGATAAAATTATTAAATTGATTTATAAATATATTACAATTCACACATAATTTTGTATTATATGTACAACATGTATAATACAATTTTTACAATATTTACAACTGTTTGAAAAATTGATATTAAACTTTAAAATGATATTGAAATGATATTAAACTTTTAATCATATTAAATATTGAATCTCACCCAAAAACTTTTAAATTCGATACCGTTATTCTTAATTAGTTTCTCAATTATTTGATTTTTTATGCACTTGTCAATTTAATAATGTTTATACAATCACATACAAAACAGTTATCGCTGTGTATTTTCTTTTTAATCACTGAAATAAAACAAGAGCGCGATCACGTAATACGTGAGCAAGACTTTTAAATAAATTCTTGAGGAAAATATTATCTTCATAAGTTTTGCTTTTTTATCTTTGCTATTTATCGTGGAAAATACATGCTGGAAAAAATCACGAAAAAGTCACGAAAGCTTCAGAATATTTACTTCTTGAAATAATTAACTAATACATTAATTAATTTGATGTAACATTACACAGATTACGGCACACATTTTTAACTATAAATTTATTTAACTGTATAAAATATATGATGTATAAAAATATATGTTATATATTTTTTTATGTACTATATAATATTAGGTAATTATTTACAATAAGGCATTTCCCGAATTTTAATGTTTTTTCTTGCAATTTTGATAAAAATTTTTGTTGCGGCTCTAATGTAATAATCAACTGGGGGAGGTCGAAAAATATGTAACCTCCCTATTTTTTTAAATTATTTATTTCCAGGTAAAAATAAAGATGAGGGGAGCCTCCCTCAATGACTTTGATTTTGATAAATATTGTCATTGTTGTCAAGATCATAACCCTGAGTGATCTTGAAGAAGTTTTAACCGTTGGTAGTTATTCGTTAAAAAGATATTTAAAAAATTAGTTTTAAAAAATATATTATATAGTTATAGTTTTAGCGAAAATAATAATTTTTTTAAAAGCACAAACTATTTAAAAAAATTCTCTTTTTGAAGTAGAGAATTTGTTTTTAAGGAGATCCTAAAGTGAAGAGCTCGAACTCTGATGAAGTCATGAGAGGTCACTGTTTTTCCAGCGCATCGACATATCTTTATATACTACCATTAACGTTTCGTATTCACCATTTTTTCGGAATTTTTTTTAATTTGAATTTTTTCTTAATCCTACTTTAATAGTGTGCAGAAAACGAAACATAACGCATTCATTTTTTAATATGAAATATATTAAAACGTGTCTTTAATAAAGCACAAATATTTTAGATCGGCCATTTTGAATTCTCTATCAAGCTATTATTGATTTTTCCATTTAATAAATGGATTCATAGTCAGCGTATTTTAAAGAGCAAGTTCAGATTCATTTTGATAAAAAAATTCAATAACTACGTATAAAACTACATATCAATGAGAAACCCTATTTTCATAATTTATCATTTTTAATAACAGATTCATGATGACCTTTAAAACCCTTAAATACCAATTATCATGAGAAACTTCTACAATACATCCTATTCACTATAAGTTCTAGCGTGGTATAAAAAAATTCGACTTACAAAAGGAGACACGATATAACATAATAAAATTTATTTTATCCGCATTTCTGAAATATAAAATTATTTTTATTATTTCATACCCAAGTATTAACATGTTCAGCGTTTACGAAACGTTAAGAAAACGCTTAAAAAAGTCTATGTAATCGCTTTTTTAGCGCTTTGCAAACACTGCTGTGCTACTTGAGTATGGATCCCAAACAACTTTTTGTGGTTTATTAAGATTTCGCAGAGGAACCAAAAATTGGACATTTTAACATCCTCCTTTCTCAAAATTATGATAGAACAATTTAGAAATCGGATTCGTATATAGCGTCCAAAAAACTACTAGAAGTGATTTTCATTCTAATATTTTTCTAATGGAAAGATACTGACATAGATCTCTTAAAGCGAAACCTTGTTTCTCAAAAACTAATTATTGTATTTTATTAATACTAATAAAACCATGATCTGTTTAGTTGGCTGGCCGTATCTGCCATAGTTTTCGAAAAATCTTAAGAAGAAATCTTATTCACTTGTAGGTATTTTATACAGATAATTTCTGTAAAAGAAAAAGAATAGGAATATGTGGCAAAAACAAAACATTACTGCCCACTGCGTCAGTTTTGGAACCCATTTTGTCAGACGCTCATTTTTGCTTATCTTATCGAAAAAATTAATTATTACAAAATTACAAACAGTATTATAAAAACTGCTTATATTACCTGATAGAAGACACTTTTTAGTTTGTATTTATGTATTTAAAATTTTATTTTTACCTTTTTTGTTTAAGAAATATTGTCTAAAAACAAAGTAATATGTCGGTATCGACGAACTTCTCTATTTTTTTCAAACAGTATTATTTATGTATATTAAATTACATTGATTTCTTTACGCGCTTTGACACATATCTGGAGACACATGTCTCGACGCTAAGACAAGAGCAGCGACATCGTAGCGCGAAAAATCATTACCAAAGTTTCGTAGCATCTTTCTATTAAAAAAAGTTTTATATATGATGAGGTGAATTTGAAAAGGCAGGATTGGCAAAAATAAAAATGGTTGAAATATATTTCAAACTGTTTAAAACATGCTTAAATAAAAAAATTTTTTAACATGTTTTAAATGTTTTTTTTATATAGTACTGGTTAAAGCACATATAAAGCATTAAAAACGTGTATTTAAAAAACACAATGTTCTTTATTTTTCGCCAACTCTGATGAAAGAAGGAAATAAGATGATAGAGAAAAATAAAACTCTTGCATTTACCTAATGTCAGTGTGAGTAGCGTGAAAAGAGGAAGAGCTGTTGCCGAGGGGATCATGCCGAATTAATCGTGAACCAGAGGGCCGTGTGTCCACAAATAAATCTGCAAGAGGGACTGTGAAACACATACGGACGTGTACAACCATGTACTGAGAAAGATAGATCCGTGACACGTGCGCGTAGATAAAATCAGGCATCCCCTCTCTACGGTAAAACAGATTCGTCTGTAGAGCTTGTAAATTTGTTGATTATCGCACATTACATCGTTAAACCAATCTTATCAATCAATCACAAGTTACATAATGAAATGTTAAACAATTCGGTTTCTTTGTTTCTTCTTTTATAAATTTTCCAATTATGTTATTAATTTTTTATTGTTATTACACTGAGAGAAAAATGTCTAATATTTGTGACTAATTGACTACAATTATATGGTAAAATAATCATCGATGGGAGCTCTATTGTTATTGTTATTACTGTTATAATGCTAGTAATAAAAACCATATATTCAAACATGAAAAAATTATACTTTAAATTATAATAATTTTAAATATTAGTATAGTAAAATACCAAAATATATATATATATAAATACAATAATAAATACAATAAACATTTTTATTTAATAAATGCAATCGCAATTATAATGAATACATCTACTTTCCTAAATTCACTTACTATTTATGTAGTAATAATAACTAAAAAATATTACCAAAAATCTATTTTTAGATTTTCAAGCACCGTGTATAGCTATTATAAATAGCACAATTAATTATATTTGCATAGTTAAAACAATTACAAATATATAGCCCAAAAAATGACTATAAATTCAATTATATATTAATGCAACCATTTTTTTCTCTCAATGTACATATTGTATAAGAGATAAGAATCATGTAATAATATATGCACGCAAACATTGTATGCGAATATCACGTCAGAGCGAAAGTAAGAATCATACAGAGCATAAATTATTTGCATAAAATAAATCCTTAGTTTTCGTTAGATATAAATTTCAAATTAATATACAATTTATAGTAGTTAAATATTTATTCGTTTGTTGAAAATTCTTAACATAATTCAGAAGGCGAGATATTCGCGGGTTTGATCTCTGGTCGAGGTAATTTTTTTCGCAATAAAATTATTTGCAGGTTTAACGCTTATCAACATCATATTAATATCTTTTAATTCAGATGTCTATAAACATTAATATTATTAAATTGCTTGTCAATTTAATTTGTGATATCACTCTAGTTCTGTTAGTATTGCGTTTTAAGATAGAAAATTCGGAGAACAGTTTGCAGGATTAGACATATGTATATAAATTCACACAGAATTTATTTAAGCACCAAAGATCCAATTTAACCGATCCAATTTAAGGCCTTTTCAATTTGTTAATATATCATAATATATTTACATAAAAATTCCTAAAATATTATTAAAATATTATTAATTGTAAATTGTATTATAAAATTAAATATTATAATATATAATTTTGTATTATATAACATTTTACAATATTCATAGTCATTTGAAATATTGAGCTTTTAAATTCGATGTTATTCTGGATTAATTTTTCGATTATTTTTAATTTCTCATTTAATTTTCAACTTAAAGTTACAATTATGCACATGCAAAACATTTTCATGCTGCGTTATCAATCAACACGAAATAAAACAAGAGTGTGATCACGTATGTAATGCGACGTGAGCATGGCTTAAATAAATTTCTGCAACGCGAAGAAAATCAAGCGATGTAGTAACATTGTGATGCCAAGGGCGTAGAAATGTAAAACGGGTCGCATGATCGCGTGACGCCTGAATGTCATTGTGTACAATGTCGCTATCAATTTCTGGGCTCTACCATTAGTTTTATCCGGAGTTTTAACATCGACAAATTTTCGATTAAAATTAATTATTCAGAAATTAAAGCCGCAACCAAAAATCCAACAACATTTTATTATATAATGTTAGTGTGATCTTTTGATTGCAATCGATCTGAATAAAATTGGTGCAGCTATAAGTACCGAGAGATCTCGAGACCAAATCCGTAGAATATGTATCATTTTATATATCACATTATCAATTTTCAGATTTTTTTTTCAGTCACACGGATGGAAGCATACATGTAAAGCATTTTGTCTGTCAAGGTACTTTCACAATGTTTTCATATACAATATTAGTGAATACGTATAATAACACATGACCATAACAAAAAATTTTTGAAGAGCAACTCAAACCAGAGTAGGTATTTTTTATAGATTTTAGATCGCTGAATTTGAATAAATGAGGGAGCGTTTATATTGATCGTAACCGTATGTCGTAATCTATATACCTATATAAGAATTGACTAATCACAGTCAAGTATTCCCCTCTCATTCGACGATAAGAAGGGAATACTCGAAGATGATTGGTCAGTTTTTACAGATTACGGCACATGGCATACGGTTACGGCCAATATAAACGCTCCCTAAGTCGCTTACGAATTTGAATTCAGCAACCTAAAATCTATAAGAAACACCTACTCTGATTTGAGTTGCTCTTCAAAAAATTTTTTTTTGTGGTACGTCTTGTGTAATTATCTGGAAACACGGTACATTGTCTTGGCGCTAAGACAAGCGAAGCATCATGGCGCAAGACACGGAGACACTGCTTGATGTACACAAGCCAGAATACAGACCGACATACAGAGAAAGAGAGAGGGGGGAGAGGGGAGAGAGAGAGAATAACATATATATAATAATTTAAAATGTTAAATAATCTAAGAAATGAAATAAACAATACCATATCATGCAGTAATAGCAGTTCTTCATCAGAACTGTCTGACCACAAGTCAGAGTTTGACGAACTACCGCTACTAACGAGTTCCATCACAAAATCAATGATATTTAATACTACTTCCATGTTGGTAAATGTTAAGAAGACCCCATCCACCTCAAATTTTAATAAAAATACAACCCATGTATTTTCGCTTAAAAATAAGGATTTGGCAAAAAAAAAGTGTTGCTCTGCTCTACGAACCGAAATATTAATTGTTAAAATTGACGACTATACGAATTAGAAATTCATCAGCTCAGTTTCGTCCAAATTTTCTATTGGTAAATACGAACCAATGCGATACGAGCAGCCATTCATGCAGAGGCCCGTTCGGTAAATTTAGATCATGTAACTAGCAGATGACAAAGCAGTGGATGCACTATTCACTGCATAAACGAATGCACCCATTAGGTATGTTCGCGTTGCTTGGACTTTTGCACTTAGAGCCAATTTCACCAACTTAATCGGCCGTTAATTGACCAATCGCATTTGCTGTTTAGTAGAATTGACCAATCATGTCACTTGTATGATGATACAAGTATCAGGCTGCTCCTCTCCCTGATGAAGTGGACTGCAAGGTTCACGAAACGTTGGCATTCCAAGAATGGATCTGGGGATCCATTCTGTATCTTTAAACAAGGTGAAAATTACAAAAGTAAGCAAATTTACTAGGTGTTGACCAATGAAATTATCAGTATTCTAGTAAATTCGCTCACTTTTGTAATTTTCACCTCGTTTTGAGATACACAATCGACCCCTTGGACACGGAGAAAATCCGCGAAACGCATGATTTTAAAAAAATAACATTGTGTAGTGTGTTTTGGAAAGTTCTTAAAATAAGCTTTTTAAAGTTATTAAAAGAAAGTTATTAAAAAATTTTAAATAACCTTGACCGAATCTTAAGGATATCTTCTCAAGTTCAACTAAGGTCATCAACTTTTTCCCCCTTGAAACTATAAAACTTTTGTTTGAAACATATTTGTCTTAAGGCTAGCATCTACACGATAAGGTGTAAAAGCGCGGCGCAAGGGCGTAGACACAAGCTCAAGCATAAGCGTAAAAAGTCTGCATCATGATCCATGACCTTCTACACAGGAACGCGCGACGCAGGCGCGAAGCAAGCGCAAGGACGCGTACGTTTAAACGTTGGAGTCGTGATAATATCAAATAGATGAAAAACACTCCAAACAGCATAACAAGTCATTATGATGTCAAAATGACTCTAAAATGATCGTTAAAAGTCATTTTCCAATCATTTCTAATTCATTTTATTATCGTGACTTGTTATTCTACTTAGGAAACTGCTGTAACTTTTTACATTTGCTAGCAGTGTTAGCTGTTGTGTAAACATAAATTCAGTAGCTATAATATGGTACCTGACGAGGAAATACGTATATCTCACATTCTTCTGATACATTGTTCCTTATTGATTTATTATTACCTTCGTCATTATTATTAGCTAGAAGACACGATAGTGTTTTTGGTAATAATTTTCCTCATCTATATCTTCAATGATCCAAAACTGTAAATAACCGCGAAAAAATTAACGAAAATCCTGCGTAACGTGAGCGTAGGCGTTGGAAATAAAATTCATTTATTTCTGTTACACAATTGAGCCATACCGTTACGATCGGGACTAATCCTCTTGTGCCTGCGCCTGCGCCCTTACGCCACGTGTTACGCCTTGTTGTGTAGACGAGCTTTTAAACTTACAGATTTTGAGAAAATCGATTGAATAAATTAAAATAGTCCGCCCTGCATATGTATAATTTTATTATGTATTATATATTACACGTATGATTATATTCTCTTATATTAATTTTTAAGGCAATGAAAATGTGTTAATAAATTTATTAATTAAATATTGTCCATTTCGCTTACTTTTTTATATTTACCATGCTTCGATTCCATATCATTTTGACAGCTGTCGTAACCGCTTATTATTACACGCATCCATAGATAGTGGATCACACTCTGAAAACGTACATCAGATTAAATTAGTCAAACTACAAGTTAAACGGCAAATGAAAAATCAATTAAGCTATAAAAAAATAAACAGAAATCTATTCTTTCAATACCCAGATAGCAAAGCGTGTCTCAGCAAAATCACACAAATCTGTGATTGTTTATGATGTTGGCAACTTGCCATAGATTTGTCTTCAACGATTTCGAATATACCGACATTGTAGCAACATGCAGGCAACAATGCGTATATGTATTGTCAGCAGTTTAACAGCAAGATAGCTGCATCAATGTTATCTTGTGTTGTCGACAATATGAAAGCATTGCATGATGCTACATATTATTATGGCAACATGATGGCAGTAGTGCGAATTTTGATGATGACGATTTTAACTGCTGGCAAGTTGCTACTCAAAGTTATCATATCGTGAAGGCATCAAGTTGCCAACAAATGAGGACTCAGTTGCTGCAATTCTGGTAGCAACACATGCTTAGCAATGCATATTTAGCAAGCAACATGCCAGCAACAAGATAGACACGTTGCTATCTGGGTACTCAAATTTGTAAAGATTCGATCATGAAATTTCATAATATAGCATAAGACTTGAATTTCGTTCAAAAACTCGAACAATTCTAAAAATTACATTTTGATTGGACATTTTTTTTTTATCGTTGATTATTATCATGTAAGCAGATCTACGTTGGCCATGGCTTTCAAATCCATATTCCATCGTGAATGGATCATCTGTTGTCTTCTGATGAATTGCCAGGGCGACAGATGTTCGTTTGTCCTCGCAGCGTTATTTCGCCTGTGCGAATTTTCACTTGAAGTGGAACTGACGCGAGCGAATAGCTACAGCGCTGAGACACGATTTAACCGTTAATCCCACGGAATCCGAAATCGCTTCAATCGTGGATCACACAAGCGAGGCCGACCAGGCAACGGTCACCAAGTACCGGAAATCCCGGCGCAAGAAATCGAAGAACGCTGCTGCCGCCGTCGCCGCCGCTGGCGACTCCAAAGTGCGTTTCTCGCATTTGACGCGAGGTTCCTTCTTTTGTATTGCTTGCCATTTATAATTTTATTTGCAATTTGTTGTAATACAATCATATAATTTTTTTCGTTTCAATGATTTAATTTCTCGAAAGTCCAAAAAACGCATCGATTGAAATATCTGTAAAAATTTAAACTGAAGAAAAGGGAGGAGCTCGGATTTATTAGACGATTAGATTTGAATCATAATATTTTATGAACGAAAAAATTCAAGGCTCCAAGAATTTTAAAATTTAACTTTTTTCCCCACTCTTAAAATCTTTCCGAAGTATTTTTTATGAAAGCAGCCGTCGTACCATTTTCATCCAAGAAAAATGAAATAAAGTAACATCAATTTATATATCTTTTGAGGCGAAGGAAATGGCAAATACCTGCACCGAATTCCGAAAAGAGATACATAAGTCTTTTGTCCTGCCGGCCGTACAAACACCGCCTTATTCCGTAACAACAATACAGAACCAAACGAGCTCGACCACAGCCATGCGACCTCGATCTCTTTATACTTCGCACAATTATCATGCACAGCCCGAGGATTCTAATTTCCAAGTACATCCAATCCTTGAACCTTATCCTTCATTTCTAATCTATTATATCTTTAACTTTTAAACGTAGGTCATATGTGATTTTAACAGTGAGATTTCCAAGTATTAACAAAGATATTGAAATAAAAATAAAATGATTTCGCTCATTTAGATCATACACTTCAGAAAAATAATTAAAGATTAGTCGAAATAAAACTGATAAAAAACTAAAGAAAAAAAAATATATACAACTATAATATAAAAAAAAAGAAATATTACTAAGTTTCTTATAAAAATCTGTCTCATATACCTATATTCTGTAATCGCGCTCATATTTGATACATAGCAATAAAAATTCTATTATAATAGTTAAGATAAGTATAGTGCTAAGATAAGTAAAAGAAGAACAAAAGAAAACTCTTTTTGAATATTGGTAGCATAATTGCTCAGGCTATTATAAAATTTTATAAGATACAACGCTATAAAAATTTGTTATCGTGACTTCTGTAATTAAGCCTTTTCCGGATAATCTTATAGCGATATAGCGACCTGTCCAAGTACTTCGAACCCCCGGCCGAACAGTGGAACGGTTTAGGTGGGGCAACTGCGTATTCTGGATCGGCGACGATTTGGCGGCAGGCTAGAAAGTCGATCGGTGGACCTTATTATGCAGCCGAAGAAGCCTCCATTTACACGGAGAATTGGAGAGAACATGATGCTGACGTCGGAGGTGTCGGAGGTGTCGTTGCCACTCCTCATGGTACCATATCTTTGAGGTTGCACAACAGGATACGCGTGGACATGACCATTGACCGCGCCGTCAGAGTCATCAACTTCAAAGTGACTATCTAAAAATTTTTTATTTTCGTAATATTATTATTTATATAATAATAAAATAAAGTATTTTTAAATGGAGATATATAAACAAATATTTGTGACAGAATATTTGAATAAAGTTATATTAAAAATTAGATACATTATTAATAAAAAAATAATAAGTTTTAATTAAGAAAGAATTAATGTTGAAGATTTTTCTCTTAATCATACAGAGTTGCAGTGTAAAATTTTGAGATTTATAAAATAGAGGATGTAATTATATAACAAATCCAAATTTACATCTCGTTTCTGATAAATGTATAAAAAATTAGATACAAAATATTTAATAAAATATATATATAAAGTCATATAAAAAATATTAATAAAAACAATAATAAATTTTAATTAAAAAGGAATTAATTATAAAAAAAAAGTTTTCTTTTAATAATACTGAATATCATGGAATTTTGAGATTCGTGAAATAGAGGATCTAATCACAAGTCTGGAAATTCAGAGCTACATCTTGTTTTTCATTTTTGTAGAACAATATTGTCCTGTCGCTAAGCAGTTCCGGAGCTGCTGCCGCGTTGCTGCATCCCAATGGCAGAATATATCAGTATGGTTCCCGAGTGGAGATCGTTGCCCATGACACGCACGGCAATAATAAGTTAGTCTAAATGTTATCATTAAATGATTATTAATTAATACTTGCGGTTTGTTTTAACAGATACGCAAAGATGTGGTATAAGGGAGTCAGTTTCACATCAGAGCAATGCGCGCTTGTTTATCTGGTGGACACGGCTGGTACCAGAACCACAACGGATTCCTTCTCGGATATGAGCCAAGTAGGACGAGCCAGATAGAGCGGAAATTTATTTTAAATAATTCGCGAATACTAACCAGCTCAAAATATTGTTTTATTTCCGATTCAAATCGCATATAATTATTTTGATTCTTAGACTTGTAGCTTAAATCCATTTTTTCGAATTTTTCTTTTTTCTATTTTAAGTAATTCAGTTTTTTTTATTTTTTTTGTTTACATTTTTTGATTGATTGTATAGGCTTTGTTACATAGACATTTCTCAAAAATTTCAAGTCGACAATTTTATATCATTCCTTTAGAATTATTCAAAAATTATTCATTAATTTAATTATTTTTCAATTTTTAATTTTCATTTAAAAAAAACCATTACTCTCATAAAGCATGTAAAACTAATTTGTGAAACTAAAATCTTTTTTTTTATAAATGTTCTATAAATTCATTGACTGATGTTGATTCAAATCAATGGTGATATAAAGTGGTTGAGACAAATGTTTTAAATTATTATCTCGAATAACTATACAACTAGAAATTATAAAATGAAGTTTCATGAAGAATATAATAAATTTATTACAATTCTTTTTTTTTTCTTACTAATTTTTCAATTCTTACTAATCATTTGTAGGATTTTTCATTGAGTGTTTTCTATTCGGGCTCTCGGCATGGACCAGCATGTTTGCAGGAAGTTGCGGCACATCTCAGTACATCTCAATATTGGCAAACCGATGAAGGTGTTGAAAATTGGATTATTAACAACGTCCGAGTATCCCAGACTCCCGATGGTCTTGTCAGGTAACAATTAAAGTCTAACTGACGGATTTAAATTATAAATTTAAAAATAAAAAATCAGGAAAAAATCCGTTAAAGAAAAATTAATAAATGAAATTAAAAGTGTCCGCAATTAATTTGATCAAAACATTTTATATTAAATTTCATTATTGTGTAATTAAGAAGGAGAATTATATTATTCTTCATAGAAAGTATCTTATTTCTATTTTTTATCCTAAAGATTATCTATACATGTCAATTTGTAGATTCTTAAATTGAGATACATATATCTACATATATACTGGGTAAAGTATTATCGTTTTTCTACAATGAACGGATTATACATCAAAGAGCTACAATAGCTTATAATTTTTTGTTACTTAATACATTCTTAATATATTCTTAAATTATTTTTAACGTTATCCTTAATCCTTTGTACAACAGGATTGCACGAAATAGCAATAAGTATCAACTACGTACATCCCCTAGTAATGGTACAGCTTCATTGACAACGCCCTTCCTGCACTGTACTGCGTCCTTAGGACAAACGTCTCATCTGTTTGTACGTCGTGGTGAGCGTCGCATGCATTACGATGGTACTAGCTTCATCGTAAGAAATGCAGGTCACAGCGCCGGCTTTGATGACAACAACCAGTTGAAGGTTTACTAGAACAAAAGCTGCGTAAAATGTCTTCTCGCTTAGGATTTATCTATCTACGAACGAGCATCGATGAATATGATCATCTTAGATTATCGAACGGTCCGAGCATGACCTGGTGTACTGTGACAATTTAATTTCAAATGTTCAACGAAAGTTACGAATCACTTTCGTCGAGGTCTTAAACGAGAATACACTAAACCACAACATTAAACACTTCATTATATATATAGCCGCACTTCTACGTTTAAAGATTTACTCAAATCTCATTTTACTAAAGTTTAGTAATTTAATTGAATTGTCTATCCGAGGCTGATTTGATTCAGCAAAATGTTTAATAAATAATTTCGAATGAATCGAGCATTTTATTACGCAAAATTAACTTTTAATTATTATAATCGTGTGACGTATGTCTTTACAATAAAAAATAATGCCTGAAGAATGTATAAAATATAAGTACTTATTTTCTAGTATACACATTAACATTCATACTAACATTCATATTATATCTTCTTAATTATTTTGTTTGATTATCTGTGTCACACCTCGGGAAGAAAAATATCATGAAGTTATCGCAAAATTTTATTAAAGTGACTCTACACGAGAGTTTTATTAAGACTCAATAATACTAATCAGTAATATTAAATCAGTAATACTGACAGTACACATCAATATTTATACTATTTTTACAACCTTATACGATCAGTATTATTGACAATATATTTCACTTTTGTTTTATGTACATTATCTATTACACTGTGACATATACTGTGACATGGATCTTAATAAAGCGATATTAATGCTCGAAAATTAAAATCCAGATCACCGTCACATTCTATGTCAATCCATCAAAATCAACCATACACGGTCAATAATATTGTCAGTATTTGTTAGTACTGACAGTATTATTGACCGTGTAGAGTCACCTTTAAGCTTATTAAGATCACAGTTCCTAACAGAATTTCATCCTTTTCGATTACATAGTGTAAATTTTACTCAGTTGAACCATGGACTATAAACAAAAGTCTATAATTTTTAAATCTCTTTCACCTTATTTACACTTAAATTGATATTTGAACCAATTCTTGAGTTATAATTTTTTGCAGTTTTTATTTAAAACAACGCTGTGTGAGTATTCTTCACATATCTTCTCGCTCTGTTTCTGATTCTTCTTCGGATTGTAGTCCCTTTTCAAATGCTCGGCCTATCTTGGACAAGACCTGATTTTTGCGAACTCTGATACTGCAGAAGAATTATCATTATAATCGATGCTTCAACTTTTAATATATTTTTATTTAATTTCAAATCAATGTAAATAGGTCCCTCTTTAGGTATATAATAAAATATTGCACATCTTTAAAATAAAATTATAAAAAACATTCACTTATACAGGCTGCGTTTCGTTAATCATTGCAAGTATTGAAAATCTATAATGCACATTACGTATACTTTAGATTTTCAGTGCTCACAGTGAATAACTGAACGCAGTTACAATTATATATCTTAGATCGCTAAGTAAAGCAATTATTTCTTTTAACAATTCAGAAAAGAATTTAAAAAATTAACAGTAACTTGGTAATAGATTACGACAATAGAAAGAGTAATTTTTACATAATGAAAATCATGTTTCATTATAAAAGGGATATAATTTAAATTACTTTAAAAGTCCTAATTCAAAAACTTTTTCTTCACGTTTCTCAAAATTTTGTGTAAAAAGTTAAACCTTTTAATTTTTTTCATCTTTATTTTATACTTCCTTGGTGACAAAATTTTGATGAAATTATTTCACATTTCAGCGAAATTGCTGAAAGTTTGCTGAAATTTCACTGGAAATGAATTTTTCAGCTAACATACTGAAAAATCGCTTAAGTTAAACTAAAATTTTGTTGAAATTTCTCTAAAATTTTTGCTGAAACTTCTCTAAAATTTTGCTGAAAATGAATTTTTCATCTAAAAATCTCTGAAATTAAACTGAAATTTTACTGAAATGCTGAAATTTTGCTAAAAAGTGTTCTAAAACGTGGAATAATTTCAGCGAAATTTTTCCATCAAGGTTTTGATGTACCTTTTATGGAACCATTATTTTTGAGACTTTATATCACTCTTATCGAATTGAAGCTACTGACCATCAACAAAGGATCTTTAGATTGATGACATCAGAAATGAGAAAACATATAATGAAAATTCTCTCTCTCTCTCTTGCAAAATATATTAAAACAGAAATATTTTTCAATAACATAATATTTGCATCTGATACGGTATATCTATAAAATATACCACAAACTCTCTTTTTATCTTGGAATAGAATAAAACATATTTATCTCAATGCGAAAGCTATCATATAATTTATTTCGTTTTCCGGTTAGACATAATTAAAATATATGGTTATTTATAGATTATTAAAACACAAGGGAGTTTTCGGTATATTTTATAAATATATTCTATCAATTGCAAATGTTCCTTTATTAAAAAGCAAGAATTTTCATGTATTTTTCTCGCTTTGACGTCACAATCCAAAATGACTGCAGTGAATAGTCATGAGCCTTAAGAAATTACCTACCGTTTTTGACCTTTCTGAACAGTTTCGGCCACTGCTGCTGATGCTGTTGATGGCTTACTACTAGTGTTTTTCATATTGGATGATTTAACAAATATTCTACTTTCCGATTGTATCGTACGAATGTCATCAACAATATTGTCTGCTATGCTAGCATCATAAAGTTGTAGGCTGGAATCTCCTTCTGCATCGTATAAAGCACGCTTCTTTTCTTCATAGACCTTACTTAGCTTGCTGATAGTCGATAGTAGCTTCTCTGGTGCCGCTAGTTCTTTAATTCCTGGCATCAAATTAACATCCAGCTTGGGCTGTTCTTGCTTCTGATAGAAATGTCTCTCGATACCATACTGTGAGCAAAAAAAGTTCTTATATTAATAAAAACATAATTTTTTTCACATTAATCGGGCTGTATTTCTTAAAGACGTATATCATAGAGCTAAATGAATTATTGCATCGTGTTCAGTGACCAAAAAAAAACAGTATCACATTTAAAATCCAGATTAAGCCATTTTTACATCAAATCAAACATTGATAAAAATTTAAGGATGTTCTTTTGGCATAAAATGAAAGCTTTTGAGCTGAGAGATCGATTTAAAAAAAATTTTTTTTTTCTTGTCAGTTTAATATATATATATATATATATAACTTTATTATAGTGTTTTGGAAAGCTCTCGAGATAAGCTACAAGAATATGTAATAAAAAATAGGAGTTTCCATTTAAAAAAACGTTAATAACCTTGATCTAATTTTGACAAGATCACTCAAGATCAAGTCCACATTTCCATCATGTGTCCCTCTTCAAACCATGCAACTTTTGTTCGAAAAATTTTTCAATAAAATCATTGATTCGCGAGATAATCGATATCACTTAAAATGAAACATCCTGTATATATATTGTATGTAAGGGAGACCGGAGCTGAGTGATAACTTTTTTTTTTAATTGCAATTTTCAATAACAAAGTAAACGATTTTAATCAAATGATTATTAGTGTTTTATAGCGTGATTAATAATCACTAGAAAAAGTATTTTTAATTCAGAATAAAATATACCTCTCTGTCACTAATGCAATGAATAAATACACGATCAACAATCATTTTGCATAAGATATAGTTAGCGTCATGATATTCCTCCTGTTTTATTTGACTGTGCAACTCCATTAAACAACTCCAATCTGATAGAGTCATTCTGATCTTTAGTTGTTTTACTGGCATTTTATAGTAAACTCCATATGTAAGATACAGAGCCCCTATACGTTCCTTTAAACTGGATGCATTTACCAGAAATTGCTTTATTATGCAAAGGACATCTTCACAAAATGTCGTTAAAGCTGCTTCCGAAGGATGATAACTGTAAATTTGAAAACTTGTTTAAAAACTTTTGCAAAATTGAAATCTTTGTAAACTGATTTTCTGACATACTTTACAGAGAAGCTTTAAAAAAAAAACAATAAGAATCTTATTTTTAGACCGTACAATGTGAGAAACACATTGTAATTAATAATAGAAATTCACCAGCCTATACCGGTCGAAGCTAGATCTTTAATGCTTTAAATAATTGAATTATTTAGGTATAAGCTGTTGAATTTCTATTTAAAAAAAAACCTGTTAATATTTTGAAGTAAAATGCTTTTTTAATAAAAAAAACATAGAACGTACGCAAAAACCAAACCAAACTGCATTTCCTTCCAGATCTCACAGAAGTTTTGAAAATGAGTATTATAAGACAATTCGAAGCGCGTTATTAGCGTCTGGCAATCAGTGCGAAAAGCCTCCATTAAGCACTTCTCTATTAAGAGACAAATAAACAGTATAATTATTACTTACAAAAATATTTTCAATTTATAAAAAGATTCTCCTATTGCTTTACATAAATTGTACGTATCAATATACAGGATGGTCCACTTAAATTAAAATCTTGAATATTTATTTTTTATCATATACAAAAAAATGTTTCAGCTGAAAATGAAACAAGGAGGGACATATTTTAATCATATTGTTCTTTTCTAAACAGAGATGTCAAAAAGATATGAAGGTGACCTCAACTTTTTTGAAATGAAATTACATAATCAGGAAACGCGGTAGCGTCTCCCGTCCAGTATATTTTTGAAGTTTAGTACATTAATAGCATTTTTTTATTTTATCATAACAGAGACGTTACCATATCATGAAAGAGACGTTACAGCGTATTCTTTACAGGAAGGAGGACGTTTATGTAACAAAAAATTGTTTCGTTTAAATAAATTGATATTATGAAAAAATATATGTATTGAGGAAGAAAATAGATTCTTATAATTAAAATGAGATCATGTTCGTAAGTGCACTTGATGCGTAAATATATGAATATATTGCATGCATTTTTCTGTTCGATTTATGTCATTCAGATATGTCGTCGTCGTCGTCTTTCTCTTTATAAAATTAAAAAAAAATTTTGTCCTCTTGGACAAGATTGGTTTTCAATATTATATAATATATTCAATATTATATATAACTACTCAATATCCCTCTGTTACCAAGGGACGTTGGACTTTCCACGCGAAGCGAGATCCCTCTTTCCTAGGGGGTGTCCTAGATATAGGAAGAGGTAAAGTGCACCTCGTTTCGTGTGGAAAGTCGGACGACCCTTGACAGGGGAAGGTGATGTGGAGTTTGTTTCGCGTAGAAAATCACCTTCCCCCTGCTTAGGGATGTCCGATTTTCTACGCGAAGCGAACTCCACATCACCTTCCCCTGTCAAGGGTCGTCCGACTTTCCACACGAAACGAGGTCCATTTTACCTCTTCCTATGGCTACGTTTACACCGTGTGCTTAGTCCGCGACCTATACGATAGGTGTCTTTGTTTAACCTACAAGATAAACAAAGACATCTATTGTATAGGTCGCGGCCTAAATGCACGGTGTAAACGTAGCCACTATCTAGGACAACCCCTAGGAAAGAGGGATCTCGCTTCGCGTGGAAAATCTAACGCTCCTTGTTAGGAGGATTTGAAATGGTTCTTAATATTGTATGTAGTAGAAATAAAACGTTATTTCTTAAACTTTTTTTGTAAATTTTTTGATGAATAACGAGCGACGGTTAAAACTTGACACTACTTACGTTGCGAATCGTGATACTGCATAATTCTATATGCTCTGAATAAATGTAGAGAATACTACGCTCACCGGATCAACTTAAATTATGACAAAAATAATATACTCGATCGATGTATTTTTATGTAAAAATAATAGGTCTGTTCGCGTTACGTATACTTTTTGCACTCAGCGTCTTTGTCTTCTCTCTTTTCAATATCCAATTATATATAATTATATATCTATCTCATTTTAAGTGCAAAAAATATTTGGGGATTTCAAGTAACGCGAACAGACCTGATTTAACAAGAAAAATGTATCGTTTAATATTTGTTCAGTTCAGTCATGTCAGTTTAGAAATCGATGAAATTAGGCTCATTCGACGCGTTTTTGTCCGAAATGAACGAATCTGACCGAAAAAAGCATTACTCTGCCGCGTGAACGGAGATATTAATAGGTAAAGTAAAACAACTATTGAGGTTAATAAATTTGTCACAGCTGCGAAATACGTGACGCGATGCCCGAAGGTCTGTTCTTTATTACAGCATTATCTGAACTGGTGCACACTAAAGCCGGAATTAGGGTGAAATCACACGGTGCGGAAAAAGACTGTCGCAGTCTTTTTCCGCACCGTGTGATTTCACCCTTACGGCTCCTGCACATTGGACGCGGAAAAGCTTACCGCGCGACAAAATGCGACGCGGTAACCAATGAACATGTTGAGCTGGTTCTACATTAGTCGCATCGCAATGTCGCAAGCGTTATGATCCAATCAGAGTCGAGCTAGCTTGATGTTGATTGGACCGCAACGCTTGCGACGCTGCGATGCGACTAATGTAGAACCAGCTTTAGGAGCTGTAAGCTTATTGGCTACCGAGTTACATTGACTTAGTCCGGATCTACAATAAGTGTTTTAAGACTTAAGAAATTGACCAATTACAGTCGAATCCGAGGGGAATAATCGACTGTGATTCGCCCATTTCTTATGGCTTAAGACTTAAAATCCTATTGTAGACCCCGCATTACAAAAGTGAGTAAATTCACTTGATATTAATCAATTAAGTTATGAATATTCTAATAAATTTGCTCACTTTTTTAATTTTCACCTCATTTCAAGATACACAATCGACTCCCAGTCATTTGATTTCCAGTGACTTTCCGCTTTAGTCCGGATCTACAATAGATGTTTTAAGACTTAAGCCGTAATGCGGGGTCTACAATAGAAGTCGTAGCAGTCGTAGGGTTTTAAGTCGTAGAAAATTGACCAATCACAGTTGATTATTGTTCTCATATTCGACTGTGATTGGTCAATTTTCTACGACTTAAAACCCTACGACTGCTACGACTTCTATTGTAAACCCCGCATAAGAAACTGACCAATTACAGTCGAATCCGAAGAGAATAATCGATTGTGATTCGTCCATTTCTTATGACTTAAAGCTTAAAACCCTATTGTAGATCCGGGGTTAAAGAAAAGTTGAGCTCTATTTATCAAGATCAGAGCGCACACGTATTGCGCCGTTAATCGGTCTGTTATTGGTCGGATTCGCGAGCCAATAGACGTAGGGCGCTGAGCGACAGCGGCTGTCCGTTGTCGCACCGCCACAGGAACGCTCAATAAACGGCGCTAGTGTCTGTAAAGTGTCACAGCCGTTCCCGTCGGTCGACAGTGTTGCGAGACTCGAATCCGGTGATTTAATTAGGAATAACGTACTTCTTTTTTTTAGTAAAATTGTGAAACTTTAAGCAATAATGACCGACAAGAAAGGTAACTATATGCTGTAATCGCGCATTACCACTTAGTTGCGTGTAATGTACACTGAGAGAAAGAGGGAAATACACACGCACCTACACGGGCGTACGACAGACGCGTTCTCACGACGCATATGACACACGCACGCGCATATACATATATACGTACATATATACACATACACACACACACATACACACATACACATATGCTCGTTGAGATAAGCCGTACCTCACCACTTGTCACTCAGCGACTAGTTGCCTGAGGCGACGTCGTTGATGCGACTCCTGGTGCGAACGGCCTATAACGAGACATGGCGTCGCTTGCCCTTCGTGCGTACGGCTCCGGCCGCCGGGCAAGGACCGCTCGAATATCTCGCCCGGGTTGACAGGACAAATCAATACCGCGCATCGCACTGAGAATACAAAATGGCCTCCGGAGAGTTGTTCATTCTCTTTCTTACGAAAGAGAGGGAGAAAGAGATAGAATGAAAAAAAGAATGAGAGACAAATTTCTTGTATTTACGTTCCAAATTACTTTCGTCAATTATCTTCAGATTATATTTTCGTAAATCTTTCGATTTTTGTCATTGTATTTTTTTTTAATCAGTAATCTGAATCTTCAAATTCTAATTTTTGTCTTTTCAAACTTCTGACATCTTTGCATTATTGATCCCTCTCGCATTCATGAAATTTTTCGATTTTATACTTTTACGTCTTTCTCGATTTACTTTGATTCATAAAGGAGGATGGGTAAAGTTACGGATTGTGGCCTAATTTAAGCGATAGAACCTTTCTTATGCGTGTTTTCTTGTATATTTTAATGTACTGAATTATTTGCAAACGTTTATTTTGAACTGATTTAATGGGAACATGTTGAAAGTAGCATAATTGAAAGTAGCACAATTTCGTCAAGGTTTGGTCTTTAATTTCAATTTTCAATATTTTCCCATCAGTTCAGCTTGAAATTAACATTTGCAAATGATTTAGCATATCAAAAAATACAAAAAGTGTACATAAGAAAGGTTCCATTGCTCTGTCCAAAATTGACTATTTTATTCAGGATCCTGGATAATCAATATAATAGGTCGATATTGACCATTGCGTTAGAATCTTTCTCTTACGTGTGTTATTTTCTTTAACGGGCTGAAGCAAACGTTAAGCTAACTGCTAAACTATTAGCAAAATATTGAAAATTGCAAAGATCAGATTTTGACAACATTGTGCTACTTTCAATGCGATTCTCAACACATTCTTGTTAGATCAGTTTGAAATAAATGTTTGCAAATGATTCAGCACATTAAGAAATACAAGAAGACATGGATAAAAAAGGTTCACTAGTTTAGGCCAAGATCCAGTAATTTTATCCATCCTCCTTTGTAAATCTACATATCTGAATTTGCTTTTTTCATCGATAATTGATTCCTTCTCACAATAAAATTCTTGGAATCCCAGTTATTTGCAATTCTCAAATTTTGAAATATTTCTTTTAATAGCTTCTACATTTTTTATTCCTAAATTCTTGGGCTCTTTGCACTTCTTGAATTATAATTATTTTTGGTAAGATATTTTCATTTCTGATAATATAAAATACTGCATATTAAAATGAGATGTATCATGAATTCTGAGAGTCATAAATTATGAAACTGATAGGTCTTAACTTTTCTTTCTTGTTTAGTTAAAATATATTTTTGATCTGATTTAATAAATATGCAATACAAATTATATATGTATATATTAGTACGTTAGATTATATTAATAATGAGGTCATTGTCAAACTTCAGTTTTTTTGCAAATAACACACATAAAGAATCAAAATACGAATTTTCAATTGAATTATTCAACAAAGATTCCAAGGATACAGATTCATTCTTTTGTTCGCGGTTTGTATCAGATTAATCGTGAAGCTCCGGAAGTCATCCCTTTGTATTACTCACAATCAGTGATATTCTTACAGATGTAGGAGCTTGTTACAAAAAGTGAGAATGCGCAAACGCCGTGTATGAGGTGTATGAGATTTAAAGGATCCCTAGAGCTTAAGAATCAGAATTTACCAAATAGTTTCGTTGTCGTTAACAATCGAACAGACACTGGAATCGAGGTGTTCACCTGAGCGTCTGTTTTTATTTGCTCAAGCCGTTCCAGACGTTCCGGATACGTTTTTATTCCTCTCGCACGACGGAACAAAATCTGAAACCCCTGGAATAGCTTCGGCAAAGATTATTTTCTCATGTTAGCGCCGTAAGAACGGTATACCTCGACGATGCAACATTTCATTACCGAGTCTGGTCCCCAAAGCAGGTGCTGCGCTCCTATATAAAGCGCAGTATCGTAAGGATATATGTAAAAGTTTAGCCTGTAAGTGGAGAGCTGACATGCGCTCCTTACCATAATGATGATTATTGGTAATGTGAAGATAACACATTATATACTGCTGCGAGTCTGCTACCGTTTATACCTATGGCGATGTAGCAGCTGAGCGGAGGGATAGCGCCTACAGTTTGGCTGTCAATATGTTTGCAGCGGACCATTACAAAGACGATTTGATCCCAGTCAGTAGGTGGAGCTCCGGAGATCGGCGCAGCCTAAGCCACGTATCTAACCTCACCTTACTCTATATATTACCTTAACTCACTACGTGTTTATATACCAACATATATTACGTATACACACACATAAATATATATATTATATATAAATATGTATACCTGTTATGTTGAGGTTAATGTAAAGACATTGATTGCTCTAGGTATTGTTGCATCTCGTGCACTCCTTTGCCTTATAACAGGACATCTTCGTAAATGACATATCACTTCAAGCATCTTTATGGAGAAGCTATTTCTCTTTACATCAAAATAGCATTTTTTAAAATAATGGATAGTATTTTTTATAAAATGTAAAGAGCTATTGCTCAGCAAACACAGAATATAACTGCAATATTGCAGCAACATTGTAACATTTCTGCTATATAGCAGGAATATTACAATGTTGCTGCAATATAGCAGTTATATTATGTGTTTGCTGGGTGTGTTCTATCGAAAAGACCTAATCCGACATGGTCAGATTCTCGAAAATTCTTGCTGCCAAATCTGATAGTTTTATCCTTCTTTCAGAATGTCTTCAGAAGCAATCGCTTGCTTTCCGTCAGCCTCAACGTACATAAAAATATAGAATGCACCAGGCGTCTTCCGATTTAGAACAGAAAATGCCCCAAATCGCGGATTACGTGACTTCCAATGCGGCCATGTTTATATTTTGAAGTCTCGAAAAATTCGCGTATTTTTCGAATCAGACGGGGTTCTCCATGATCGGAGCCAACGACCGATTCGGTCACATTCGTGACCGTTTTTTTTCAGTCCCGAGAAAC